AAATAAATGTCCATTATAGTTCATACCTTTTGTTTCCGATAATGAACGTATTTCCCTTTTTGCATACTTAAGCTTGAAAAAATTAAAAAGCCCCTGTCTAACATGGTACCGCTTTCACTCATACAACCTGAACTCCTCTCCCATCTCTACAGATAGGTAGGACCAAGGCCTGTTTATTTCCTGCATCCAGTGCCAGGTCTAGTGGGTGATTTCCAGTCCATTCCTCCTCTGCTTCTACCAGATGGAGGTGTGATTATATTCCTTATTTGGATATTGTCTGTAAATCACCTCAAGGGATGGAAGAAAATTTGCAAGTGAGTAATTAGGTGTAAATGTGAACTATTTCCCTTCACTTTTGCCCCTTAGTTCCTAAATCTGAGTGTTCTTTCTGGCTGTGGGTGAAGCAGCACCAGGGAGTGGTGGTTCTTTGAGAGCGTAAAGATCCCATGGGGCTGCAGTTCACCTTCCCAAGACACTCTCTCAGATGACACCGTAATTGGGTCTTCAAAAGGCCATTAAAAATTCTAGAAGTCCAGCAGCTTCCAGATAATGGGAGACCAAGGAATCCCATTGTCCTTGGAAGTTCTGTTAATTTTTTTTTCTCTGTAAATTGAATATCTTGATCAAAAGCACCGGTGTGTAGAATACCGTGATTGTGACTAATATATGGATTAGGAAGCTGGTAGAATCATGGGGGGGAGGGCAGTAGAAGAAGCATAACAAAATCCACAGTACTGCGGTTTCAGTGAGTATAAAATTCCGCCTCCACCACGAAGGAAGGAGTGTCATCATCTTGCCACTGGGTGACTGGCTCATAGCCCCATAGATGGCGCCACATCACTTATTTACTTTTGACACTATTGCTGCAAATCGGTACATGGCATTTCCAGTAATCATGTTAATCTGAGAAAGGGGAAGTCCAGTTGGTGAGCCTACAAGTGGTTTTTATTCTTAAACCATTGCTGGTTGATTAGTCCAGTGAACAAGTGCTGTAGAAGTTGGGGTGAGGGGCAGACTGGTTAACATACATAGAACAAAATCTAGAAAGAGATAAACTAACAAGATAACATAACACCTAATACATAGCAGGCAGCTCAGGTCACTGGGTCACCTAGTATACCACTGTTTACTTTTTATCCAGGGCTTAGTAGCAAAACTAGAACTGTTCCTCAAAAGATAACATTGGTTTGCCAAAGAGAGCATGATTTTGCTCCAAGATTCTAAGGGACTCCTGTGGGTTTTTTTCTTCCTAGTGGGACTTGCCACTAGTGTTATACAGAACTCTGAAATTGCACAGGCGCTTGAGTTACCATTGGATCAACTGGGTCATTAAAGCCCAGTTGTAGAGCTGCTTGTACCAACACTTGAACTAGCTGGATAGCCTTTTCTTTTGCGGAGCTGAAGCCAGAGCTGGCAACGTTTGGGGGCATTCAGTAAAATGGGTTGGAGCCACATAAAAAGTCTCACTAGGCACTGTTTCCCTATTTGTATTTGAGACTGCAAAGAAAAGCAATTTGTCGTTTACTTTGCAGGAGTATGTCAGTGATCCATACAGATTAATGGACCAAGATTCTTCACCAAAGAAACAGGGTCCTGTATTTTCACGGAATTTATCTTCTATCTACTGGCATACTTCCATCCTTCCAAGGCATCGAAGAGTGCATGTTGCTTCTTGCCTTTCAGATCCTAAAAGCACATGTAAGCAGTGTGTTGGACTAGTGTAGTGTCCCATTGGAGGAGAGGATCAACAACCTTGACAACTAACTTGTAATACAGAGATAAAGAGTATATATAACCCTAAGATAAGACTGTGAAGGCTCTACGCCATCCCATCCAGTTGAAAACAAACTCCTTCTCGTGTTTTCTATTTTTTAGGGTAGAGCAAAAAGTATTTACCATATCAGCAGGTTTATACAAGGTGCCAGAGATTGTGACGATCTGTTCTAGTAAATAGATCACATTTTAAGGAGCACTGCAGTTGGAGTCTCCATTTGAATAAGCTTCTGGTAGCCATCATAACTCTTTGCCTTCTGCATCCTCCAGACAGGCCAGTTAAATGGGAAGAGGGGAATAGGGGAGACTTCACCCTGCTCAGCTTGTCAGGTCTTGGAGGCCTTTCTGAGCAGTACACAAGAATAGGTGTTGCTCCTGGTTTTCTGTTTTGTTGGAGTATTGCGCCCTCAGGGGCTCCCGGTTATCTCTTCCTTTGCATATAAGCCCTTACTCAGGGAGAAAGGGTGAAAACGGGTTGCTGAGTGTATCTGTTTACAAAAACTAGGGAAATAACCACGTGGTAGATTTAGGCTCCTTCCCACTGGGCCTATCAGAAGCATGTCTACTTAAATTTTTCAAGGGCGGAACAGTTTTATATAGCGTTCATACATTAAAGTTATTTATCCTTTCCAGGATTGATATTCTTTTCAATCTTTCTTTTGCTATTCATGTTTTCAGTGAATATTATCAATTTTTAAAGTTCCTGTTCCTGGCTGATTTTTGTACTGGCTTGTCTGACCTTTTCTCAGTTATTTCTGATTCTTTCTACATGATGGACATTGCTCCTTCCTATGTCTTTACCTTTTTCAAGGCTTTTGATTGTAATTATATTATCATCTGCTTATTTTTCTTGATTTTTACCAATCTGATATGTGTTGATTATCAATGAAGTTTAATTTCTCATATTTTTTTTGCTTGTTATAATTTTAAGATGATACCTTTTACCCATTTTTCATTGAGCTATTTTTATATTTCCAGTTTATAGGATTCTTTTCTATATTAGGGATATTAACCCCTTTACTCATTATATGCTGCAGGTATTTTCTCCCGTGTACGTACACACACACACACACACACACACACACACACGTTACTTTTATTTATTTGTAATGTAGATACATATTTTTCATATAGTGTTTTAAAATTTTGTGTATGTTTTGCCAGTTTGACATATTTTCCTTCATGGTTTTTAGTTTTATATCATACTTGGATAATATTTTATACCTCATGCCAAGATCATAAATAAGATTGTGTAATAAATACATTTTTATAGTTTTATGTAGCAGTTTAATAGTTTCTTATATTAATAATTTATTACAGATTTATTTTACTTCATGAGGTAAGCTAGAGTTCTCTGTTTTAACCCCCAAGTGGTTAGTCAGTTTTCCTGGTGTCATTTATTGAGCAATCTATTTTTTTTTTCCACTTATTGTGACCTTTTTTAAAAGACAAGAGCCCTCTAGATATGTGATAAATGTCTGCATCACTTTGTCTTATCAACATACTTTTTTTGAAAATAAAAGCTTTAAACCCCTATAAGGTAGCCCAAGAAAATCTGCTGAGGTTAAGAAGGAAATATGTAACTAATTGGAAGCCGCCATATGTTATAAAACAGCAAACAAAATTCCTCCACCTCACAAAAGAAAGATCTGTTACCGAAAAGAACTGCAAAAAGAAATTCCTTTGTAAGTAGCTGAATGGTTAACAGTTGCTATATGATTCCTCTGCAGTATTTATATTTTTCATCTTTGACTTGAAACCAATATTTATTACATCATCCTCAGTGAAAAAAAGTTATCCTGTGTTTCGGAATACAGTAATTCCTTTGATCCCATAAATATCAATAAATAGTGACTATTTAAAAGCATTTAAGCTATATAAATAAATGATTATTTTAAATGAAAAGAATGGGTGGGTTGAATCATTTTTCTCTAGTTCTTGGAAGTGTGAAAGTTTCTTACTTTGAGATGGATTTTCAACTTGTTTCTACTTGACATTTTATTTGTGTACATAAATGCGTAAAACTAGGACCTCCCCTTTTGTAAAGAGCCCCTTTTTTTATTACAGTGGTCATAGACTTCTGAGTGGTGAACTTAGCATAAAATATTTAAAACCTACAGAAGAGTAAAAGTATAGTACAGTGAATTTTTTATATACCCTTTACCTGGGTTCACCAGTTGCTGACATTTTTCAACTTTTGTTTCGTCTCTCTCTCTCCAGATTCAAATTCAAGTTTCTCCAGTTGTCTCCACAACTTTTTTATAGTTTTTGTGGGTTTGTCTTTTTTTTTTTTTCCTGATTCAGAATCCAGTCAAAAATCATACACTGGGTGTTTTAGTATTTTGTGTATTTTAGTTCTTTAATTTAGAAAGCTTTCCTGCTTTCATACTTTTTTTCTTTTGTTGACCTTGACATTTTAAAAAGTACAGGCCAGTTGTTTTGTAGATTAGCCCATAATTTAAATTGGTCTGATTTCTTTCTCATGATTAGATTTGGGTTAAATATTTTGGCAAGAAAAATACATAGGTCATATTGTGACTTTCGTGTTGCATTATGTCAGGAGGCTCATAATGCTAGTTTGTACCATTGGTGGTCCTAAATTTGATCATTTGTTTTATAAGCAACAGATTTATCTTCGATAAAGTTAACTCAAAGTAGTGACATCTGTGTGATGATAATTTGAGGTCATGTGAGTATCCCCATGGTTTTAGTAGCATCCTTTGATCTTTGCTTGAATCACTTACTACATAGTTGAAAACTAATTTTTCTAATTTTGTTATTCCTTCTTCATTTATTAGCTATAATTCATTCACTTTATATCCCAGTGAATTATGTAATTGTAACAATTATTTTCCTTACAATTTTTATGCCAGTAGAGTTACGTGAAAGTCCATGTGCCATTGTACTAAATGTTCTGATGGAATAGGGAAGACGATAATATTTTTGGCTCATAATTGCCGTTTCACATGGTAAGGTCCCCACACAATACTCTTGAAAATAAATCCATTGTCTCTAATCTTGAGTTTTAATTAATTTAATTAATCTTGAAAATTAGTCCATTGTCACTAATTAGATTTGAATAAACCATTTCTTTTTTGTTTCTCAACTAATACTTCTTATATTTATCTCTTCGTTTTTCTGTCTTTTTCTAACTGTCCTATTGTTTGTATTAATTTCTGTTGCCCTAACATTTGTAACAATTACACATTTATTTTCTATCATAATAGCTGCAGAAATACAGAGGACTCTGAATCAACTTGGAACACCTCAAGATTCACCTGAATTGAGGCAGCAGCTGTAAGTATTAATTAAACAAGAAAAAGGAAATGGGAAAAACCACCTATCGTCATGTTCCTTTGATAGTGTGTAGTGTTATGTTTATTGGAGAAAACAATGGAAAATTAATAAGGTTTTTCTGCTGCCTCATTTGTACTAAGCTTTTGTGTAGGTTGTTTCCTGTCCAGAGTGGGCAGATGTTTTTCTTTATTTTAAAGATCTGGCTTACTCTATCAAAGCAGAACTTCTTTGGTTAGCTTTTTTATACCTTTTAATAGGTTGTTTTTGATGGCTTTGAAAAACGGTACTCTGAGCTTCTCTACTTGTGTGATTCACTTCCCATAGCTAACAATGCATATGATGATTTTTATTTCACTTAGATTCAATGCATATCCAATATGAACTATGCCCCTAAAAGTTTATATTTACATATTTGAATTTCAGAAAGCATTAGCCTCTGTTTAAAAAAAAAAAGTTGTAATGAAGTTATCTAGTACATATTTGAATAAATTAACATGCTATTAGAAAAACAGCAATAATACTTCATGGGTTACAGATTTTACAGAGTGTTTTTACACATTTTCTCATCTGAACCTTACAAAATTGGAGTGAGCTAGATAGATTAAAAGAACTATTTCCATTTTGCTTATAAGGAAAACATGTCTGTTTGGGGTTTGATGATTTGCCCAACATTATTCTGAACCTGAATCTTAAATCTTAGTTCAGCACTGTTAACAGCTACAAATTTCAAGTAATATATATGTAATAAGTGATATGCCAAACATTAGCTGCAGAAGGAAAAATTGCAACGGAGAAATTAAGAGATAGGTAATAGTAATTCATATTTTTATGAAGTACAATTTGAGGAATTTGCAGTTGTTTCTAATTTGTATTGCATTTTTCTGCAGTGGGTAGATATCAAGGAGCTAAACATGCCCCAAATCTAAATAATAAACCATCATTTATTAAAATAAAGTAAAATGGAATAGAAACCATAATTCTTAATAGTTAATAATATTTTGCTAAGGTTAATAGTGGAGATTCTGAATATGTAGATATCATTAAAGTCTTCTTTTAGAATTTTAATTATATTACTTTTTCTAAAGATTTTTAAAAGGCATATTAAAGATAGGGCACTTGGTAAGTATATAAAAGTAGAGTATAATTCTTCCTTATCAGTCAAATACAGATATCTGTACTAAAACATATTTTTACATAGTATCATTATTTTAAAGGATCCTAAGTGTGACCAATACATGTTTAAAATGAGAGATAATATATATGAGAAGTACTGATGTTGTACTTGTAAAGCATCACATTAATACAGGCTTTTTTTTAGTGCTAATTTCTTTAGTTAGAGATCTTAGTTTTTACTTCATAAGCTAGCTAGCAAGATAGATATAAATAGCTATATAATTTACCTCTTTTACTCTGTTCTGTTCTTTTTACAGAGGAGTGCTATTGTTTTTTCCACAGCAAACTTAAATAATAGTAAATTCGTATTATTACTCGTCTCTGCTTTTTTTTTTTTTTTTTTAAGTATAGGATATAAATGTTCAGGTAGAGAAATATGAGAGGCTGGCTGTACCCTGAGACCTGGGAACTGGGCAGAGTTAAAGACAACAAATCTTTACTTATTCAACTGACCTCCCAATTGTGGGATGCACATCAAAGGCTCCCACAGCCACCAAATCTCAAACATCATACACCTTACAATCTCCTGTTGGCTTTTGTCATCTTCCTTTCTAAATGGCTGCTGATTTATTTCTCAGAGCTTGGTTACTCCATGTGTGAGTAAAGAACCTTCCACATAGTATTTGTTCAATATTTATGAAAGAATAGAACCTGAAAATTTTGTTTTCATAGAGAAAATTTGGAGCCAGTCTATAAAAAAGTGATTTTTCTAAAACTATTCATCAGGGTTGAATCAAGTGGCAGAGTTATAGCTTAAAGAAATGTGTTTGTTCTATTGCTATAATGTGTGTTTTCTCATTTTAGGCAACAGAAGCAGCAATATACGAACCAACTTGCCAAAGAAACAGATAAGTACATTAAAGAGTTTGGATCTCTGCCCACCACCCCCAGTGACCAGGTATGAAGCTTTAAGACACACTGTTGATGTATTGAATGTGAAAGAAATCAAATGTATTGTAGGATTTTTGAACTGTTGTGCTAGAAAGGAAATTAGGGGGGAAAAATCAATTTGAGATTAGTTCACAGAACACAAAACTATATTTAATTGCCCAGGTAGTATCCTTTGGTTCAATAAAGCAAAAATTATTTCCATGCACTTGCCCTGACCCATAATTAAGTAAGTGCTCAGAAAATGCTTCCTGAGTAATTGTTTCCTGGCCTTCCAGGACTGACTTCATATAACATACACGCTCATTCAAGATGTGAGGTTTCCTAGGGGCACATGTATTTATTACCCTGCTTATTACTTTGTGGAAGTTATTACTTAGGTGAGTCAAAGGTTTTATTTTCATTTAAAAAAAATACTTTAACATAAAATCATGGCCCAGTTTTTAGGATTAGAACTTGAGGTGAGAAATCCAACATTATGGGCCTTTTGCCTCAAGGTAAAATAAGCACAGTATTTGAACATACTGTCAAATTATTCAAAATGTTATTGAGTTAATCAGTAAGGCCCTGTAATAGGAGAGTGAGTGAAATTTTCAGAATTAAATAAAGAGCAGCAAAACAGCTTTTGCAAATTCTATAGAGCTTCACAGCTTGATTCTGGTAGGTTTCTTTCCCCCCCCGGCTTTCCTCTAGCGTCAAAGGAAAATACAGAAGGATCGCTTAGTGGCGGAATTCACCACATCACTGACAAACTTTCAGAAGGCGCAGAGACAGGCTGCTGAGAGAGAGAAAGAGTTTGTCGCTCGAGTAAGAGCCAGTTCCAGAGTGTCTGTAAGTATTTAAATCAGCACTGTAAAAAGAACGTGGTACCCTCCAAGGGCCCCGTGAAGAGCTATACGGCATGTTTCTTGAGTCGTAAAGACCTGTGAATATCTTGGAAATCGGTATTTGAATACTTATTTTCAGGTGTTTCTAATCAGTTTTTAAGAAGGATGATCATTATGTATTATTGTGGTTATTCTGTCAATGTTGTGGAACAAAAGATTATGTAAAAATATAGAAACGTTTTGTCAGAAAAGATTAGAGTCAAATCCTAACTTGAGCCTGAGGCTGTTACTTTGTATTCGTGCTGGAGTAGAGAGCACTTTAATCCTGCATTATATGAAGATGATGTAAATGAACAGTGAATATATTGTATGAATATTTAAAACGAATGTACACCTGGAGAAAATAAAGGATAAGTTAGAGTGGAATCTTGACTTAATCTAATTTTAAATCTCCCTAGAAACTATCACAGGTTGTTTCGTTGTTCCTTAACATAGAGGTTCCAAGACTACATTATGTTTTAATCAAATAATATTTGTTATTTGGCCCTTGAGAATATTTAATGAATTCCTTCTTTGTCAGCTTAGGATATAATTTTTTTTATTACTTGAAGTAATTGACCTAAAATACTAGAACAAGAACTTTTCTCTCTCTTTTCTTACACCTGCACTCCAGTGTGTACATAAATCAGTTTAGATTATTATGAAGTAAAATGTGAGTGTTGTGTGTTTTTCCTTTGCATCTTCTCAATCCATTCTGTTACTAAATTATTCAGGGTGGTTTTCCTGAGGAGAGCTCAAAAGAAAGGAATCTTGTGTCCTGGGAAAGGTAAGAAGTATAAAACATTATACAGATCAAAAGATAATTCTTCAAATACGTTTTTTACATCACAGTCCCTGGGCAGAATTAAAGCTTTCAGTATATATCATGACTATCCTAAGTTATTTGTAAATAGAAAACAATAAGTTTGAAAATTTTTCAAAGTCATTATTTATTATAAAATATATAAAAATATTCCAGTATAGCAATAATACTCTTTAATTATCCAAATAAATATTATTGACTTAATTATTATTTGATATAGATTATTCCCATAGGTGAAGTTTAAATCAACCAAGAAGAAGTACTCACTTGCCAAATATAATAGTTTCCAATAATTAAATAATAATAACATCATTGAAATGAAACATGAATAAAATTTGGTTAACATTTCTGTTATATTTTTAGAATTTAAGTGAGCAGTTCTATGACTTTGAAGAAAAAATATTCTATTCAATAAGTATTTCTTAAATAAAAAGGAAGCCTCATTGTTTTCATACCGGTTTTTCTTTTTTACATATTCTTTTCTTTTTAATAGCCAAACTCAGCCTCAGGTGCAGGTGCAGGATGAAGAAATTACAGAGGATGACCTCCGCCTTATTCAGGAGAGAGAGTCTTCTATTAGGCAACTCGAAGTAAGCTTTACATTGCAGAATTGGATTGCTGTTCTGTTCTTAGTGAGTTTGTCCTCAAGATGCTTAGATGATGCTGGGAGAGAGGTCAAGAAAGAAAACTAAATAGATGTATCAATTTGATGGCATATTTCATATAAATTAGAGTCATTCTGTTAAAATAAAGTAATTTCTTTAGAATTTGTGCAAGGATGAGAAAATATACTTCCCTCTACTCCAACTTTTTTTTTTTTTTTAATTCTGTTAAGTCATCTCAAGCCACCTGAGCATTGAGAAAATTATCAGTCTAGAGATAAAGGTCTGTTCAGAGAGTCTAGAAAGCTTCCATGGCACATGATACACATCACACCTGCATGAATAAGACTTTTCCAAGGGCTTTAAAAGTGTTTTATTTCTCTTTAGTGTGTGTAGGATATCAAAGAGGTCTAAAAGGTTTAGTAGCCTTAGTTCTTAGGGAACCTACCTGTTCCCTAGGAAGTGGGCTAATAATAGCTAACAATAGCTACCATTTATTGAGGGCTTCATGCACCAAGCACTATGTGATGAATTCTTTAATTGTCTTACTTAGTTCTCATAAAAGCTCTGTGAAGTAATTAACTGTGTCATTATCATTGCCCTTCTACAGATGGGGAAACTGAGGCACAGGATGAATATGTAAATTGCCCCACCTTTCCTGAATAAAGTGTTTAAACTTTACTTTTTAATCAAGCAAAATAATAGTTATATATTGAAGAAAATTAAATTTATAACTTATTTATCCATCACTCTTCCATTGCATTTTCAGATTTATTAATGTGAGGCTTTGAATTTACACCTAATGTTTTATTCTTTTAAAGTGTCAAATTGACATATACATTTTTACTAGAAATACAATAAGAATATTTTTTACTTTTTTGAGGAAATACTATTCATGATAACAAAACTAATCATATTGCATGACATAAATTCAGTAACCCACAACCCTTCTCTATTGTATAGTCCTTCATTTCCACTCTGAATCACTTGATATTTTTAACATCACAAACTTATTTTAGAGAACTGAGATTCAGAGGCTACTTACTTGGTATTGCCTATAGTAAAATAGTTTTCTGATATTCCCCAAATATATGTTATTAGGTCCAGATGCATGCTCACCTAGGTATGAGCAGTGGTTTGTGTTTTTTAAAATTTTCTCCTTTTGTGGATTGGGGACTGAATTTCTGATTACAATAATATGCATTTTTTTTCTCTTAGGCTGATATTATGGATATTAATGAAATATTTAAAGATTTGGGAATGATGATTCATGAGCAAGGAGATGTAATAGGTAAGCCCTACTCATTCGATTTCATGAGGCAGAAGGAAGCTACATGCAGTTTACCTGTGGTAACTTCTCAAGCCAGGGTAGCTCCTTCCTCTCTTTCGGTCCTCCTGAAATCAAAAGTACAGTGTCTGTAATAAACAAAGCATCACCCTTGGCATTATCTAAAACAGATCTCGTTTTCGGCTCCTACTAGTGGAAATGACCAGCTTAATTTATTTAAGAAGTTCCAAATTTAATCAGGGTCTACTGCTGCTGAGATCATGGAAGGTAACATTTAACATCATTCTAGCTTATTTCCAGGATCTCTGGTTTCTGTCTTATCCCAATTTAATTCTTATCACACCAAGGACTTTGGGGAAAACATCTGTTCATAATTGTGCACACTATCTTGTCTTTTAAAGTAGAGGGAATAAGAAGCCATTTGCCTGAACATTAATTCTTATAGCTTTTTTAGTACATTAATTTAGTTGTATTACTTAGATACTGAGAATTCTTTTTGAAAAATTCTTTAAAAAAAAATCAGTGACTAAGACTTCCTTTAAGTTTTAAATGTAATTGTAATTCATTTAAGGTGTAGTTGTCAACATTGATCAGGATTCTGATCATCTTTATCATTTTGATATATGAAGATATCTGTGGGTATGCTAAAGATATATTTAATACATTTTCTGAATTTGGTTCAGTTGAAATGCTTGGACCTATAGTTTAATATAATTATTATTTGTCCATTCTTACCCTCCTCTGTAGCCCCAGTAGGGTAAATTTTCAAAAGCCATTCATTCATCCAGTAAATGTTTATTGAATGCCTACTATATCCAGGCATATATCTAGGCCTTGAGGATTCAGCTGAAATTAAACAACAGATAAAAGATCTTATAATCTAATTGGAAGAGAGAGACAATTAAAACAGAAAGAAAAGTAAGCAGATGGTGATAAGTGTTACAGGGAAAATAAGGCCAGGTCGGGGGTAGGACTGCAGGAGGTGGGGGGAATGTGCTGCTTTTCTGGGGGAGTCAGGTAAGGCCTCACTGATAGGTGACATTTTAGTGAAGACTTCACGGAAGTAAGGGAGCAGGCAAGAGAACATGTTCCAGGCAGAGGGAACCGCAGGTGCAAAGGCCTTCAGGCAGAAGCACGCCTGACATCGTGGGCCAATGGAGTCAGCAAGAGGAGGATGGAGATGATGTCAGAAGTCACAGGAGACCAGATTACATAGGCCCCTGAGCCATCGTGAGGACTGTTTTTGTATTAATGGAGGGGAAGCCACAGGAGGATTTGAGCAGAGGAGCGTTATCATTTGACTTACGTGAGCAGACTGCAAAGGGACAAGACCAAAAACAAAGCACTTAAAAGCCTATTGCAGGAATCCACGTGGGCAGCTATGTTGTCTTGGATCAGTACGGAAGCAGTGAAGTGGTGAGAAGCAGTGGGATTCTGGATATTTTTTAAATGTAGAGCCAAAAAGATCTACTGACTATCTGGATATGGATGTGAGAGAGTAAATTCAAGGGTGACTGTAAGGTTTTGGCCTGGCTCACGAAAATCATGGCGGTGCCGTTTTCTGAGATGCGGAAATCTGTCACTGGAGCTGGTTTGGATGGCTATAAATCAGTGATTTTTGGATCTGTTACGATTCAGGGGCTAGGTGTCACCCAGGTAAAGGTTTGATAGGCATTGGTACCGAGAAGATGGGGTAAAGGGTAGACGTCTGGCCTGGGGGTATAAATCTGGGCGTTATCTGTACATAGATGGTATTTAAAGCCATGAGATTAGGTGAGATCACCTAGGAGATAAGTGCAGATAGAGAAGAGGGGTGTCTGAGGACTTGTAAATATTTAGGGTGTGGTCGGCAAACTACATCCATTTGTTTATGCGTTATCTACAACAGGTTTTGTACAACAGAGGCATAGTTGAGTATTTATGACAGAAACCATATGAATGAACTGCAGAGCTTAAAGTATTTATTATCTGAGACAAAGAAGGTTTGTTGATCCCTGATTTAGAGCCTAGAGAGCCGAGGAGGAACGAACAAAAATGACCAAGAAAGAATAGCTAGTGATACAGAAGAAAACCACGTGAATGTATAGTTTTAGAATGGAGAGGAGAAAGCGTTTCAAGAGCGATGGCAGGTCAGCTCTCTCAAATGCTGCTATTCGGTTAGGTAAACTGAGGCTTTAGAATTGACTGCTGAATTTAACAATGTGTAGGGCATAGGTGACCTGAGATGAGAGCTGTGCTGGTGAAATAGTGCAGGTGAAAGCATGATAAAGTAGGCTCAAAAGACACTGGGAGGAGAGCGACTGGAGATAGCAAGTGGAGACAAGTCTTTCTAGGAGTCAAGTGAGGTCATAGCTGCCAGTGGGTGTGGCATAAATGAGGGGGTTGGGGGTTTGTTTGTGTGTTTTTAAGATGACAGCAATAGAATTGATGGGAAAGAAGTGTTGATAGTGAGAGGGAGGAAATTGCTGGCCTGAAGTCTTTGAACTAGGCAACAAGGAATGGGATAAAGTACAAGCATGGGGAGCACAGAGACTGTTGCATGTGGTGGTGGGTAGGGTCAAAGGAGATTGTGGAAGTGTCTTCGGGTTGTTCCTATTGTCTCAGTGACCTAGAAATAAGGTCACTGGTGGAGAATGACAATGCGTGACAAGGCATGAGAAGTTAGGGGAGAGAGGAGGAAGTGTGACCTAGTGTTCCAGGAACTGGGGAGATGAGGCAGGCGTGCTGTGCAGTCAAGAATTTAAAGTGGAATAAGCCATCACGGCGATTCTTCTTTGCACCCATGTTCAGCTGCGTGGGACAGGTTGGGGTTTTGTCACCTAACTGTGACCACAGTAGGAGGGAAGAGGGCTGAGGAGAAATGCAAGAAACCAGTGACAGATGACTGTGTATATGGAGTCTAGGCTAGGGAAGAGGAAAGTGAGGACGTGAAGTATGTGAGGGGCAGTGAAAAAGTGGTAGGATCACTAAAGCTGGGGTCTTAGAAGGCGAGAACTCTAAAGGTAGCAGATGGTAATCAGAGAGTGACACCTGAAATGGAGATGATAGAGAAGCTGCAGTTATTGGTAATGACAGGTTTGGGGTGTGACCATGGCTGTGGGTGGCTCGGAAAGCGCCACAGGCAAAGTCTTTGAAAAAACGTGTGTTCAAAGAATTGAGAGGCCTGGGCATTAGAGGCTCAGCAATGGGATATTGAAATCACCGATATGTAGGACAGTAGAAGCATCGAAAAGAACATCAGTGACTCAGGGGCTAAAATAGTCAAAGAATGAGAAGAAAAGACATCTGTGGATGTCTGCAGCAAGGTGGGTTGAATGAGTTGGACAGCAATAGCTCTAAAACTGAAAGTCGGCAGGGAGGAGGAGGAAACAGTGGTCACCCATCCTACAGACTGACACCTGTTCCACCCCCAGGTCAGAGGAGGGGGGGAGGAAATTGTCACCAGTTGAGAAGGCTCTGGGGACCCTCAGGGAGCCTAGGTTTCAGCACAGAAGGAGGTTGATGAGGGCCGCCCAGCAGATGACGGTTTTCAGTTGTCTATATTTACCCTAAACCAAAGTTCAGATGCCTTGCTTGCTGCTGAGTTGGCCATCACAGAATGCAGGTACTGGTGACGGTACTTTTGGGGGTTACCAGGTAGAACTGGAGTGCACTATAATGAAGATAATCAAGTTTCTTTCCTTCAAATTCTTCAGTATTGTTTGGATCACCTGAGAAGTAGTATCACTAAAAAAAAAAAATTCAGCCTTACCCATACACTATTAATATTAACCTTTGAATAGTGAACATGTTTAATCTTACCTTGAATAAAATCTGGTGATTGATACAGCTCTGTTACTAAAGCATCAGCACCCGCTTTGTGTGTGTGTTTTATTTTAAAGATAGCATAGAAGCCAATGTGGAAAATGCTGAGGTGCACGTCCAGCAAGCAAACCAGCAGCTGTCAAGGGCGGCAGACTATCAGGTAATATTAACTGTGCTGAATTGTCTTATAACTCAGACTTTTAAACGTGTGTGTGTGTGTGTGTGTGTGTGTGTGTGTGTGTAAAATCAGGTTTAAAGTGGCTGGAGATGTTAAAATTCAAAATACCATGGAAGACAGGCTAGAAATATGCCAGTCAGTTCAAACTGTGTGTATGTAGCCTGTCTGTTCTCAGGTTTGAACCAGTGTTGTGCCCACAGGGATGGGAAGTTTAGAGTCTTGAGGGGAGCAGTACACAACTCCAGTCTTTTCTGACAACTTTTGGTCTCCGATGTCATTTTGACATTTCAACCCAGAAACCTCTTTGATAGCGATTTCCTTCTGTTTCTTGCTGTTCCCTTCTACCTTTCTTTTTTGTCAATGATACTATGGACTAAAGAGGCAAAGATCCTTGTCCAGAAAGATCTCTTCAGGTCCTGTGGAAATTATATTAGCTTAGAGTGAGTGTCCTTGACCAGTGGGTATTCTGTCAGCATTCAGCAGACTCTTCACCAGGAATGAACTGATCTCTTAAGTGAATCAGGTTAGTATAGGGAATCCATAGGTATGAGTCAAATATATATAAAGGACTACAAATATTAGCACCATGAACTATTAATATATCACTTAATATGTAGACCTTTGACGTTTAACAAAGATAAGCCCAGGCTCTTTGGGAACCCCTAAATACCACCCTAGCATTTGATTTCCCTTTTAAAACTTCATTTTTTTTTTGTTGATGTAGTTGTTCATAATTATTTTCTCAGAAACTTATTACCTTCTTATAAAATTTCTAAGATATTATCACCATCCTAGGTATTTTTTAATTGCTTTTCACTTTTCTCACTGATCTTAGAAGTTCCCTTTAGTTTCAATGCCATTTTTTTCACTGGACAAATCAGTGCATATAGAGGATGCTGAGTTATACAGCCAATTGTGCTCACCGACAGAGTAACTCATGTTTACTGTCTTTGTGCATGAGATTCAGATATGCAGCTCAAGATAGCTAATGTCACCATGTCCTAGAATGTAGGTGTCATTCATGAATAGTTGAACACACACACACACACACACACACACACACACACACACACACAGAGTAATCTGTAAATACCAACAGTTATAGCTGCTCAGAGTGTTTAGCAGGATTCATCAGTGACTGGGATTCCATATAATTTCATTTTCCTTTTGGACTTCAGGGGGATATAGATATATCCCCAAGTTTTATTTTTACTCTTCCTTGTGGAAGGGAAGGCCTATAGCCACCCTGGGGAAAAGGAACACATCTTCCCAAGTTGTACCTCCAGAGCAAGAGTTGCCCCCATCCTTAATCCCACAGGCCCTGGAGGGATGAGGAAAGAGCCATGCAACACAAGGGCTAGAAAGAGAGCAGCTTCCCAATAGTCCCACTTGGCAGCCTTGATATTAAACTTACGCCTCTGCAAAATACAGTGCAGTGCTTCTAAATAGTTTGGATGGACCATGAACATAAAGGAAGGTGGAAAATGCTTTCATCACCATGGCACTCCAGGACCTCACCACCGCACGCTGGAGAGGGTGCCCCAGGAAAAAAGATACTCTAGGGGAACAGCTCTCATTGTTGATGAAGGCACGTTACACATGGGTCTGCGGTAACCAGGTGGAATCTGGGGAAAATACATGGGCATGATGAGATTGAAACTTGAACTGTTTATATGCAGAGTAATATATATGTAATATATGTAATATATGCAGAGTATATTCTGTTGAAAAATTAGATGGCCATATGGAATACTGAAAAGTATAAGTAGTTTTCAGGATAATTTCAGAGTCAGGAACATATTCTTTTTGTAAATTTTATACTACTTCTAGTTGACACAAAGTAAATTACAAATTTTTTTACTTTGTAAGAAAAAGGATTCCTGCCTGTAGCTGTGAGATATACAAGCCATTGGAGAAATATAGAAAGCTACAGCTGGGCCAGGAATGAATAATGGAGCAAAACTCTTAACGTTTATATTTTAAATGACAGTATTAGAATTTTTTTTAGCTCTTTGTGTTTTATAGTTTATTTGAATGTTGAGAGATTTTGAATGCAGTTTCCATTCATATTCAAGGATGGGAATGATTTGGGAAATTAATAAGTCTACTTTAAGAAATATTGCCAACCGTTTTTCACAGAACTAGAACAAAAAATTTCACAATTTGTATGGAAACACAAAAGACCCCGAATAGCCAAAGCAATCTTGAGAACGAAAAACGGAGCTGGAGGAATCAGGCTCCCTGACTTCAGACTATACTACAAAGCTACAGTAATCAAGACAGTATGGTACTGGCACAAAAACAGAAAGATAGATCAGTGGAACAGGATAGAAAGCCCAGAGATAAACCCACGCACATATGGTCACCTTATCTTTGATAAAGGAGGCAGGAATGTACAGTGGAGAAAGGACAGCCTCTTCAATAAGTGGTGCTGGGAAAACTGGACAGGTACATATCCAGTATGTATGAGATTAGATCACTCCCTGACACCATACACAAAAATAAGCTCAAAATGGATTAAAGACCTAAATGTAAGGCCAGAAACTATCAAACTCTTAGAGGAAAACATAGGCAGAACATTCTATGACATAAATCACAGCAAGATCCTTTTTGACCCACCTCCTAGAGAAATGGAAATAAAAACAAAAATAAACAAATGGGACCTAATGAAACTTCAAAGCTTTTGCACAGCAAAGGAAACCATGAACAATACCAAAAGACAACCTTCAGAATGGGAGAAAATATTTGCAAATGAAGCAACTGACAAAGGATTAATTTCCAAAATTTACAAGCAGCTCATGCAGCTCAATAACAAAAAAACAACCCAATCCAAAAATGGGCAGAAGACCTAAATAGATATTTCTCCAAAGAAGATATACAGACTGCCAACAAACACATGAAAGAATGCTCAACATCATTAATCATTAGAGAAATGCAAATCATAGCTACAATGAGATGTCATCTCACACCAGTCAGAATGGCCATCATCAAAAAATCTAGAAACAATAAATGCTGGAGAAGGTGCGGAGAAAAGGGAGCACTCTTGCACTGCTGGTGGGAATGTGAGCTGGTACAGCCACTCTGGAGAACAGTATGGAGGTTCCTTAAAAAACTACAAATAGAACTACCATATGACCCAGCAATCCCACTACTGGGCATATACCCTGAGAAAACCATAATTCAAAAAGAGTCATGTACCAAAATGTTCATTGCAGCTGTATTTACAGTAGCCCGGAGATGGAAACAACCTAAGTGCCCATCATCGGATGAATGGATAAAGAAGATGTGGCACATACATACAATGGAATATTACTCAGCCATAAAAAGAAACAAAATTGAGCTATTTGTAATGAGGTGGATAGACCTAGAGTCTGTCATACAGAGTGAAGTAAGTCAGAAAGAGAAAGACAAATACCGTATGCTAACACATATATATGGAATTTAAGGAAAAAAAATGTCATGAAGAACCTAGGGGTAAGACAGGAATAGAGACACAGACCTACTAGAGAACGGACTTGAGGATATGGGGAGGGGGAAGGGTAAGCTGTGACAAAGCGAGAGAGAGGCATGGACATATATACACTACCAAACGTAAGGTAGATAGCTAGTGGGAAGCAGCCGCATAGCACAGGGAGATCAGCTCGGTGCTTTGTGACAGCCTGGAGGGGTGGGATAGGGAGGGTGGGAGGGAGAGAGATGCAAGAGGGAAGAGATATGGGAACATATGTATATGTATAACTGATTCACTTTGTTATAAAGCAGAAACTAACACACCATTGTAAAGCAATTATACCCCAATAAAGATGTTAAAAAAAAAAAAAACGTAGCTCACAGCCTAAGCACAGTGTGATCAGTAGACAAGTCATCAGTGGAAAGGAACCATCCTTTTTTTGATAATCACTATTAGTATGACCATGGGGCAAGATATTTCCCCTTTCTCTTTCTCCATTTCCTTATTATAAAAGGAAGAGACAAAAAAAACTGTCTAAAGTTTCTCCTGGTTAAAATTCTATGAGGTTTCGATAAAGGGAATAGAGAGTAGGTGTCTGGATGAGAAGGGAAGTTTTCTTGCCACTTTAAAGAAGGGACTCATACATTCTACCTTTCGTCAGCTTTGAGTGAGGCCAGCCCCTAAATCCCCAACCATGTGGCCTTCCCTACCCCAGAGCCTCCTAGAAGGCCTCTGGCCTGGCCTGATGCCTAGGAACCAGGCATCAGGCCAGCAGGAACACGTACAACCAAAACCTCTCCCCGTCCACCCTCTTTCCTTAAAGGACTGGTGAAAGCAGATGAATCTGTGCCAGTCCTGTACTAACTCAGCTTGGACTGGGGAGCTAATTCCGCTAATAAATAAATTAGGGTAAACCATTAGGGTAATTAAATATTCTTCCTGCCTTTCGTGATGAAATTGAAAGAGATGAGTTCTAAGTTCTTCTCCTGTTGGAAAATTCTGCTTTCAAAGACCAATATTTACCTTCTGCTTTTTTTATCTTCCTTTAAGCTGTTTTTTGTTTTCACACATAGGTAAACTCTATTGCTCAAGTTATTAATTTTTATTTCTCTGTGTCATTTTTAAATTAAGCCCAACCACACATCTAGAAAAAGTACCAACAGAAGTTGAATAATTACCCCCTAAATTATACCATTAATTCAAGAAGAATATTTTTTGAAAGCATAGGGCTATATGTATTGAAAAGCAAAAAAATATAGCCCAAAATGAGGGCAATAAATTACTATTGATTTTACTCTAGAAGTGAACCGAATGATCTTCACTTGCTATAGAGGTGCTCCACTACATCTGTAAACGTGTTTTTGTTTTTTCACATCTGCAGCGCAAATCCAGGAAAACCCTGTGCATCATCATTTTTATCCTTGTTATCGGAGTCGTAATTATCGGTCTCATCATATGGGGAGTGAAAGGCTAAGATTATAAAGGAGCACAATATTGCACTACATTATGTAAATTATGTAGGAAGATTCCTTTAATCATGGTAGGTTTTTTTAATTGTTATTATTTTAAAGCTGTTGCTTAAAGGATGGTTCCCATACTTTGTTATTTTTATTTGGGGGGAAGTTTTCTTTGGATTAAATCTGATATTTTCTAATACTGAAAGTTTTTTTAAATATCACTGCTGGCATAGCTTCCTGCTTTTCGACCTAGTAACTTAGTTTTTTGCCCACATTGTATGTGCCTTTCGTTTATAATTTATTTATCCTGTTGACTTAGTTTTTGGAATTAGTAAATTCAAAGGTGTGTGTGTGTTCTGTGTGCACCTCTCTGTCACAGTGTAACATGCACCCACGTTTGTGTTACTTCAATTACAAATCTTAAATTTAATTTTGATTTGGGCCAGCAGAGGAAGTATTGTCAATAACTTTAAAAATTAACATATATGTTTGTGTTTGGAGTTTTGTTTTTATCTAGTTCACAGCAACACAAATTGTCTATTTAACTTTTACTGTTATTTTTCTCTTAAGACCCTTGTTTATTCTGAATGAAATCAGTGAATAACTTCCTAGTATATCTCTTACTCCTGATGTGTATATAGTAAGCATTTGCTGTAGATTGGCTAGTAAAATACTAAGGATAGATTGTTTTTATATGGGTTCTGTTTAAGTCTCACGTTCGTTTGCAGGGGATTGTGTGGTCACTATAAATGTTTAATGTGATTTGGAGGAAGAGTATGACAGATCAATACCTATTGTGTTAGAATTCTAAAGATCCCAACTTGTATTCGGCTGTGTATTTCCACAGCTGTTATGATGGAAAATTAATTACCTTCTCTTATGTCCTGTAGAATAATAAAGATTACTTTTGGGAAGTAACTTTCCCACAGTTACCGTTTTTGAGCACCTAACACTTAAAATTCTGTTTCCCTTCATACCATTTTGTACCATCCTTCATTAGAAAGGGAATTGGATGTTCGCCACTTAACTCACTTGCCTTTTTTAATCAATGTTGTTTTAATGCACTAATCTGAATACTGTAAAGAAGATTATCTTAGTTTATAGTTTGTATTTTATAGTGTTCTTATATAGCAGTTTGATAGTGAAGGCAATGTTTTACATGGCAAGCTATGAGACTTCAAATGGGAACAAATGAAATATTAAGTAAGTAAATTGTATCTTTGCAACCAAAATAAAGATGATTTTAAAAAGTGTCTGGATAGTTTTATTTCAGGAGAACTCTGCTTCCGTGGGACTTGATACTTACTTCACACTTTTGCCACTGCAGTCTCAACAGAGGAGATGTAACCACCTGGCCACCATTCTGCATCTTGCTGGAGTACTGGCGTACTCAAAAGTTTTTATTTTGGCAATCTTAAAAGGTTTTGCCGCTAATAGGTAGAAGCTGCTTTGCTTGTCATCAAAACTCAGTTTTTTCCACAAAAGAGTAGTCTTGATTAGAAAAAATAAAATGAAAAACAATACAGTAGCCAATTTTTTTTAAGTTCTTAACAAAGGTTTTCTTTAGGTGAGTTTTAGAATCTCTTTGAAAGAGTGATGCTTACTTTCATGACTGTCAACATATCTGAATCTGTCTGAGTTGAACTGAGTCTCAAACTGAAGAACTTTCCTTATCAAGTGACACATATTATTCATTTTAGTGTGTTCTGAAGACATACTTGAACAACGCAGACTGAGATTAACCAGCCTCTTTGCTTAAACTGAATGACATTGTGGCATGAAGGGTTAAGCTGTTGTACTAGCCATTAAATATTAAGAAAATGTTCTGGTTTTGCACAATGATTAGTGGTAGAAAAATAAGTGGTGCCGTTTCAACATAATGCAGCTTGTTTTACTAGGCGTGGGATCAACCCTAAAAAAATACAGATATGGACACAGATGGAGCTTGGTCTGAGACAACAAACCATGGAGGCAGCCTCTGGAGTCAGGAGCACTGAGTACACTGGGTGCCCGGCAGCTGTATCTGTGTCGCTCACTGAGAACACTGCACCTGGAAGACGTTGCCACTGGGTCCTTCTTCAGGGTCTTCACTGCTTTTGTTAAAAAATAGTAAAATCGGGCTTCCCTGGTGGCGCAGTGGTTGAGAGTCCGCCTGCCGATGCAGGGGACACGGGTTTGTGCCCCGGTCCGGGAGGATCCCACGTGCCACGGAGCGGCTGGGCCCGTGAGCCATGGCCGCTGGGCCTGCGCGTCCGGAGCCTGTGCTCTGCAATGGGAGAGGCCACAACAGTGAGAGGCCCGCGTACCGAAAAGAAAAAGTAAAATCTTGCACACAAAAAATCATGTTTTGAATACCGATCTAGACAAATTTATAATGAAAAATGACTTTTGAAAATTTGTTCCACAAAAATTAATCTGTGGTTTGAGCAAGGAAAATGCAGAGTAGTTTCTCTAGTTGGTGTGATTTTCATTTGTTTCTTCATGTAGAAAAAGGAATGTCACAATAAAAAAAGCTATATAAAGGAAAAGAAGGTCATTGTCCGCCGTAATAATGAAGAGCAATTCACAAGGGTAACTTATTCAGCATTTATTTTTTGAAAAGCAAAACTATTTTTTACACATGATCAGGTTACTACAATAAAAATTAAATTTCAGAAGGAGATGAGAGTTGTTTGGGTAAGTTATGAGTTAAATGACATTTTTAGTTCATTTAAATATGATGAAAATTTCTCATTAGTGGGAAAGAACATCATTAGGCATCCTTTCCTGGAAAAAAAAATTGCGTATTTTCATAATTCACTTAGGAAAACAAAAAACTGACCTCTGGCTCCCAGACCTCTTCGGTACACCATAAGATTTGAGCAGCTTGACCTTGTATTTCTCAGCAAGAAAATATAGCAAGATTGGCACCCACAGGAGCCTGAAAGTGTTACACTGGACCACTTCCTTGACAGAATACATCACATTTCTGCTTAACGACTGTCCAGACATAGTTCATCAATCAGTGAAGAGAAAACCATTTCCCCCACTTTTTTAGGAATCTGTGTCCTCAAAATACTGTCACACAGGAAATAAAGAAATTGCCTGATGTAAACCTGCAGGTTCATCTTTCTTCATTTCATCTGCGTTTAACAAAGTCAGTAGACTCAGTGAAGCATTATCTCTTTCACTAAGTTAAGACATGTAGGAAACCTGTTTTTCTCTTAATGCTAAATTCAAGTATTTTAACCTTTCTATTTGGGTTCAGTCAGGAAAACAACCACCTGATGATGTAAGCATAAAGTGTTTCAATGTGGGGAGTCAGAAGCTTCCACCGAGCGTCAGAAGGGCAGGCGAGGGAAGGTGCATCTGCAGTACCACCCTGGGCGGATCTCAGGAGCTGGCCCAGGAGGCCGTGAGAATCTGGAAGCATCCAGGAAGCTCCCGTCACCTCAGCCTGCAGCACCGACGCAGTGAGTCTCAAGGAACTGTCACCAGCTGTCTAGGCTGTTGACAGCACCAAAGCAGGTGACCTGTGAGAGATCTTGGAAGCTGCTGCGATGCCCGTGTCTGCGGGCCTGTGCACACTTCTGCCTGGATGGCCTCCAAGGGCGGGTGGCCTCTCCCTTCTCTGCCTCCTCCATCCCCTGGAAATGCTTCTCTTTGGGCCACACTGACTTAGAACTAGAAAGCAAAGGAGGTTCTGGAAAGTGTAGTTTCTGGCTCCCCTGCAGTGCAAAGAACACTACAGAAGGAGGGGACAGTGATGTTGAGGTGACAGCAGACAGCCCATCACAATGGTGAAACGCTGATAGATGGAAAGGGCACAAACAAGGTGAAGCAGAAAGCCTCACAGAATTCTCTTCCATTAGGGGTTCTTTGGTGGGGAAAAAAAATAACACTGATTTTAAATGGTAAACAAGCCCATTTTCCCAACCAGAACAAAGTCTCTGTATTATATATACTCTGGGACCCCAGCACCTAGCTGTTTCCTTCCTCTGTCCTTCCCTAGTTGCCCAATAAATATTTGTGTACTTAATTTGGCATTTATTTTGTGCCAGGCTGCCACATGCCCGGGCACAGAGGATATTAGAGTGAACCAAAAGAATGTGGTCCCTGCCCTCAAGGAGCTTACATTTTGGTATTAAGCATGTAAAAAACACTTGATGTTAGGAGGAAAATGGTGGGTGGGAGAGGAAGGAGGTAAGGGAAAAACTGAATGAGGATGAATCCACCTACACCTGGGGACTGCTCATTCTTAAGGACTGGCTTCCTGTTTATCCTATTACCTCATTACCAAGTAAGTGAATTTCATTCTCTTTTCTCAGTTAACAGACTACTAGAAAAGTGATAGTTTTCTAAAAAGTAGCTACTAATTTGAAAGTTGATCTGTATGTATTGTCTCCAGGAAACAACTTTCCATCTTTTGGTGGCAGCATCTGGATTCAGAGCTAGGGCGTCCTGATAGGACTGACATTTATAGGAATTTTGCAAAATTATTACTCCCAATAGAGGGAAGAGCACTGGAAAGAGGAAAGAGCTAAGGGAATTTTGGAATCCATGTTTCTTCAGAATGTTCTCAAAGCCAATGCATTATGCATGTTCCTAGTAAAATGTCCCTTAAAACATTTTTAATTTAACCCTGCCCTATCCCTTGGCAATTTTTATTTTTTTTCCTGTGGTATCAAAATGGAATAAAGAACACCCTCAATGGCTCACATTAACCCATTTTCTCATAATTTAAATACTGTTTCAATTGGTCAATTTTAATCCTTTGTTTTCGCAATCCTTTGGTTAACATGAAAATCATGAATATTAGGAAACCTTATTTTTCTCCAAATAATTCTAATTTTAAAAGCAGAAGTAGAACTAAACGACACACTAAATAGATTTTTATAGACCCTGTTGCTTCTGGCAGGTTTTTAAGAGGTTGGTCATTTAATTACTCAGAGTGGGATTCTTGTAGGTTTTGTGTAGTGATGGCATTCCTGCTTAAAATGTAAGTGGTGGAAGGCAAAACCAGATTTCCTGTGCAGTCGTTACATGCATAACACCCTTACTTGTTTTAGAGGGAGTCTGCTAGAACTGAACTGAGTCTTTAAATAAACTTGAAAGGACATTAATTCCCACTTTGGCAAACCCAAAGTACAAATTTTTAAGTGTTTACTGTAAGTACCGTTAGACGGTAGTTACTAACTCCAAAATCTCTTAGCATTGGTGGAAACTTAGAAATGCAGTTGTTTACCCTCAACAAAGATTTACTGATACTAGTTTCAGTTGCTAGTGAGTGCCTTCTGGAAGTTTCATATCAACTGTTAAATGGTACATCTGAAATGCTAAAGTCAAACCAGGATCAAAGAAACCAAGTTTACATCTCTAGAAACTAGAGATTTAGCCCAGGAGTAAGATACAAGCTTTTAGTAACTTGCATAGCTGAAGACCTAATCATGAAAAGCTTTCATGAGTAGTTAATTAACTGAGAAAATAAGACATACTGTAGTAAGGACAGATAAGGAGATAGAAAATATGAATGACAGGTGATGAGACCTGAAGGATTGAATGAGAAGATCTAATACGTGTCTAATCAGAGTCCCAAAGATGGAGAATAGAAAAAAATGGAAGAGATAGATGACTGCTGAAAAATTTCCAGAACTAATCAGAAACGTGAATCCACATATACAAGAAATAACACGTATATCAAGCAAGATGAGTAAAAGGAAACTGAAGAACAACAAAGACAAAGAGATCTTAAAAGCAGCCAGAATAACTAAATATCCACATGCAAAGGAATGACAGATTTTGACAGTCGAATTTTCAGTGCCAAAAATTGAAGCCAAAAGACAGTAGAATAACATCTTCAAGGTGCTAAGTGACAATAACTGTCAATCTAGAATGAGTGCCCAGTGAAATTATCTTTCAAGAACAAAGGCAAAATAAAGACATTTAGTTTTGTTTTTTTTAAAAGGAGAATTTGTGACCAATAAACTTTCATTTAAAGAATAAGGATGAATTTAGAGTAGAGAAAAATAACTAGAAGGAAGGTCTGAGATGCAAGAAGGAATGACGTGCTAAGAAGGAAAACGTTAAAGAATGTTTTTATAACCTCTAATTAGGGAAAATTTTCTTAGAAACAACTTTTTATTTAAAACCTCTTTGGAAATAGCACTGTTAACTTTAAAAAACCCTCAAGGCCAGTCACCTAATCATCAATGTCTAGTTAAAGTCTAAAACTCCACTCTACAGTAGATGGTGTTCTATCTTAGGGTCCCTTCCTAAAAACAAGAGCGTGGCGTCAAATGTAACTAATTTTTCTTTTTCCAAACCAACTTAGAGGAGTTTTTCTTTAAATATTAAGAGAGAAGGATGATTTCTAACATATGTAATATTCATCAGTTTTTCATTGAGTCATATTGAAAATAGAAATTACATTGTCAGTACGTGTTAGTTGCCTACCCAGAAGCCATGCAACTCTTGCCAATTCTTACTGGTCTCAGACTTTCCTTTGGAATATTTTTTCTCCTCTCTTGGGTAGCAGCCACATGCTTTGGGTGGAATTGACTCCAACCTAACTCCAGAGATGGTGGGCACTACTTTAGATAAATCAGCCCATCCCATTCCTTTTGCCTTAGTGATTGGTTCAGGGAAGGGCAGAAACCCAGTCTAAACAATCAGCTCAAGGATTCCTCTCCTCCAAACTATAATCCAGTCTGGATACCATGTGGGTTGTGGTGCACTGGATATGAAGCTGGACACTAGTGCAACATTTTAATACTATGAGGGATGATACAGCTTCAAGACAAGGATGTGAAGTTGGGTAGAGTCGTTCATTTATTCAATAAGAATTTGCTGAGTGCTTAATAAATACTGGGCCCTAGGAAAAGCAAATCTTATTTAGCAAATTCTGACATTGGGGACAGTGAAATTGTTTATAGCTTCCACAACAATTAGAAACATCTCTTAAAACTTCATCCTTGTATCTAGGAAGACTTTTGCTTTTCCAGTCAGGAATTTTAGTTCCAGAAAAAGAACAAGACAATGAAAACATTGTATGAAAGGTTTCTTTCAAACTTTTCTCAATCAACAGTTTCTACCCCAATCATCATGATGCTGAGAGGATTCAGAAACACAAGTGACTCTGTGTTCAGGCCAAGTACTTGGCCTCAGGAAGATGAATGATCAGACCTACTCACCATATGATTATAAGGGTCAGGTAGTTTAAAAAGAAATTACAATCTGAATTGAACCATGGATGAACAGTGTTGCTATTGAGCTTCAAATCCTAGCTAATAAGCGTAACCTTGTAAAGAGAGGTTAGTGTTTGGGCAACTGCATGTTCTTGCAGAAGAGCAAAGCTTTTGCAATATAAATAGTTGTGAGTGTACTAGCTTTCATCTTTGATGCCTTAACCCTCTGTGTTTAGAGTTTTTGTATCCAGGGCTGGAATGAGAATTTTAGAAGCTCCAAATACTAAAAAGATTGTGATGACAGCCCCATATGTAATTCAAAAGAGAATTTATTTTTTCAGAAGGTCATAAGACACCTAAATACTGAAATTAAAATGACTTTTTCTAGATTTTCTTATTTTGAAATGCTGCATAAATTGATCACAGTTAAAATTTCTTAGTAATTTCTGGTTCATCTGCTTTGTTGGTATCTTAAGCACTTAACTTAGTCTGTTGGGTAATAATTCAGCATCAATTGCATTTTACATTATTAATTTTTCTGTAATTTTCAAAATACAGACGGAGGGGAAGAGTATTATTTCAGAGAGGGATTTGATCACTCACAGCCAACAGTATCCTTTGATTTGGGGGTAGTCTAGACAATTTTCCTGAATAGTTCTAATAAGGAAAAACCTTTAATCCCAAATATATTACACACTGACAAAGTAATATGGGTTTTAGAAAAACAAAGTAGGTCTTATTTTGGTACTATGCAATGTTTGGTTTAGATTAAACATGGTTGCAGGAGACACTTAGGTGTGTAAGGATCACTGGGATTCATGGGTCAGGCCTTTTGCCGACTTGCTTTTCTAAGACTTGGTAGTACTGTGCCTCAGAGAACTAGGGTGAGGTTAGCCAGTCATTTTTGACTAAACAAAGAAGACTGCTTAAAGGTCTACTTTTTTCTAATCCTCAAAGCTATTTATGATTTGTAAAGTAGTATGATTTAACCTTTTTAAAAAAATTGTATTAAGAGAAAACGAAAAGACCAAAGTCTCCCACCTAATGATTTCAATATGACATTTGTATTTTTTTTTTTTTTCCATCTAAAAACCCCCTCAAGCTCTATGGAACAGAGCAAAGAGAAATTGACTGCTTTTTGTTGGGTGAATAATTCACTGGAAAACATTTGTCATATCAAGATCTTAGAGCAAGAATAAATATTGCCCTCACTGAGGAAACCAAAAAACCTCAGTTACGTTATCCTTCAATACTTTTAATTTAACTTTTATTTCTCTGCTTATGACTATTTCCAAATTATCTAAATTTAATGATGTTTTTTAAGTTTAATGATGTTTTTTATATAATGACAGTACTATTTGGAAGACTGTTCTTTTTTATTGAAGCATAATTATTGAGGAGAAACAGAGATACACACAGGCAAGCACATACTACAGTGGCACAATTTTATCGGTTGAATAGCATTTAAATCACTGTTTAATATGTGGTGTTTTCCTTTGGGTCATCAATTATATACCAAGTTATCTCAGACTCTTAGCTTCTTTGCCCTTGTAATTCCTTTAAAACTATCGGGGGTACTGTTGGGAAAGCCGTTAACAGGGAGAGGGGAAAATGGCCTTTCTATCAATAGCATATTTTAAGGGGATAAAGCTAAGTAGTTGTTTTCATTTAAATCATAATATTGCAACTAGAGACTCTCAAAAAGAATGAGAACACTATAATTGAATCACAGTACTTCTTAGTTTACATCAACATTCTGTCACCTATTCTGTAGGTCTCTACCTTTTAACCAGCAAAGAGATAGTTGCCTTTTATTAAGACTCTCTTCAGTGGATAGTGACTTCAGTTCCACAGCCGAAACCACCAAAGGGAGAACCCATGCTCCTTTCTCCTTATGAAAGCTATCATAATGTAAGAAAACTGTACTGAGCAGATTAAACAGGCAAGGGAGAATTTATTAAATACTATTGTAATAGGAGAAAGATTGAACTTACCTCCACTGAAACAAAAGGTAAGAGAACTTTTAAGCACTGAAGTGAGGTGGTGAAAAGTATTGTTGGGCATTATTGGGGAGGTTAGTCAATGCCATTAGGCCATCTCTGTTTGCCAATTGGTGCTTATTGAGGTTAGTTCCCTACCTTTTCGCAGAGACTAGGAGATAAAGGTGCAGTCTTTCTAGATGATTATGTTTTAATGGGATGGCTCCCAGGTCCTTGAGAAAGACATTCTTGGTATTCAAAATATAACATTGGAAGGCAAGGTTGGTTTACATCTAAAAACAATTAATGTTACATACCATATTAATTGAATAAAGCAAAAAACCGACATGATCATCTTAGTATACTCAGAAAATTCATTTGACAAAATTCAATACTCATTCATGGTAAAACTCTCAACAAACTAGGAAGAGAAAGAAACTTCTTCAACCTGCTAAAGATATCTTCAAAAAAAGCTAACACCATCTAAAATGGTAAAAGATTAAATGCTTTGCCCCTGAGATTGAGAATAAGACAAAGATGCCTATACTCATC